TGGAGGATGATCCTAGAGCAGGCGACAGAGAATGTCCAAAAACACTGTTCCTGTAGAGCCGTGGGGATAACATGACCCTGTGAGGCCACCTTGAGCAACTGTCTCCGTTAGTCAAGGCCTTTTAGGTGGAGCAGGGAGAAGCTGCCGCTGTTGTGATGGATATTTAGCATCGGAAAATAACAGCTTTCTTTTTAATTTTGCCTGTCCCACAGTGTTAGCTGGTAGACTGTAAACATGCATCGGTGCTGAATGGGGTATGGCATAATGAGGACGAGCATCTAATCTGGTCGCAGTGTGCCAGACCGAAAGAGGGTATTTGAAATCCATCTTTGATCCTGTACAGGGATGGTTTTCCTCATTTCACTTGGCAACCAGAAATTAGCTGCATCCCCAGCTGCTGCTGACTGTTACAGGGACATTCTGGACTCCCCCTGAAAACAACACAAGAGATTTGGAAATCTGCATAAATATATCTCAATAATTGGACCTATAAGTCTTTACTTTCATGAAGAAAAACTGTTGTATTTACAGATGAAACTGTCTCGCAGCTGTATGCTGGGGTCCCGTAGGATGAAGCAATGCTAGGGCTCCTCACAGTAGATGAAGAGGTCAGATGCATATACCCTGAGCCTTGCCATCCATTCCCCATGTCGCATACATTCATAGCTCTTAGGCTTGGTGCTCATCTGAAGACAACATTAAAAAAGAGGAGAATCAAACATAATAAATTATTAATGCACTTTATAGAGTTAACAATTGCTATGAAATGAAAGCAGTTAAAATTTCTACTGACATTTTGAAATAAAAAGTTACTGTATTGTAAACCTTAACCTTCCCAAATGTGTCAGTTTGCTAACAGAACATGACATCATAATACCATTAATTTACTTTATCTATGGTATATTATTTTTAGCTAATGTGTAATAAATAGGAAAAACGTGACTTTATAATACCATTAATTTATTCAATCTATGGTATATTAGTTTTAGCTAATGTGAACTAAAGAGGAAATTAAGTTTGTTTGAATGGAAGGAAATAAGAAACAATATAAATATATACTTTTTGTTGTTTTTTTAGGCCAGCAGAGACAACGGATCCATGAAAACAAGTTGGTCACCGAGAGGAAAGTTTTATAATAAGATCGCCAACCTGTTTTTTCTCTTATAATTTTTTTTAACAAGTTATGCTTCACCTTGATTGGCCGACTTCCATTGTGAGCTCATACATTGATTGGCTCGTAAATCGTGATGGCGATAGGCCGAGGTCCATTGTGAGCTCGGACGTTGATTGGTTCCGTATATCGTGGCGGTGATTGGCGGAGTTCCATTGTAAGCTCGGCCGTCGATAGGCTCGGTCCATTGTGAGCTGGTGCGACATTGGTCAACTTTCAACGGGTGAATGGAGAAGGGCGGAGCCCGTTAGACGAAAAAAACAGACAAGTAATCACGTGGTAAACGTAGCCGACACGTCACTTTACTTTATTTGTTAAATCATTTGCCGGAGTGGATTTTTCAGAGCCCGGATAGCTCAGTCGGTAGAGCATCAGACTTTTAATCTGAGGGTCCAGGGTTCAAGTCCCTGTTCGGGCGATCGTTTCTTTTCTTTTCCCATTTAGTAATGAATTTTCTTGCATCTCGTGTTTTAGGTAAGATAGGAGACTCCAGGTGTCCGACCAAGAGCACCACTTAATTTCATGGAGTTTGCAACATGAAATGCACCAATATATATATATATATATTATACTGATGTATGGGCTCAGCATATTTGCTGATACCGGCCTGACACTTTAGTTGAAGAATTTAACCATATACCTTGTAGATAAAGGCATCATGCTTGACATAAGCATTATTAAAAAAGGTATAGAAAATAGATATACATGAGATGTATAACATATAAATAAATTTTACTAAAATTAAGTTATACTGGGTCTCCTTACAATATATTTTCAATCATTTTCCAGTTGGATGGAAAAAAGTGATTGGTATGAGGAAGAAGGTCTGAGATTCCAGACTGTATTCAAAATCAAAACTTTTAAACTTAAATTACATACTTTATTTTTGATCTTTCACATTGCAACATTTTTTCCCTCTTTATTAGCTTGCATGACATCAGCAGGTAAAGACCTAAAATTCACATTGTCATCCCCTGTTCATTAAATGCAATGACGGTATGAAAGGATAGAATAAAATAAAAATGAATACATATGTTTAAATTATTTTAAAGGAATTTTAGCAGTATTTTTATTTATTTATTTTTGTTATTTTGCGCCCTATTCTTTAGGTTATTAAAGTATCAACTATATCCATTAATATCTAGCAGAATGTATTGTTTATTTATACACAAAATGAAATGTATTTGAATTTATTAAAAACCATTAAAAACTAAAATAGCATTAGAATCCCTGCAAGGTTTTTCTGAAAGGGAAATTAAACTGTTGCTCCTCACTGTATTTGCATAAGCCAATATATAACATAATATAATATATCCAGTGCAAAATCTTGTTTTAAAAAAAATAAAATAAAATAGATTCCTGCAGTGTGTCAGTATCATTCTTGCTGATTTTATTTTAAATGCTCAGAAGTCAGTTAGAAAAACATAAGCGAACAAACAGCATAAATAAGACCAAGGAGCACAGTGGATAGGTCAGGGGTAGGGATATAGAGTGTAAGAGTATAAAACCAAAATCAAAAGCATTGAAAATCCAACAAAGCACAGTTCAGTCTATCATCTGATAATAGAAGGAGTATGCAAGAAATGAATATCTGTAAATATATGGTGCTCAGCTAAACAGACTGATCTGTTATTTAAAAAAGAAATGTTGGAAATTATGCTGTGAGCTGTTTTATTCCACAATTTATCTCTTGCTTGTGTCTATAACATACAAGCATAATAGATATTAGAAATAGAATAATACGTATAAAATATTATTAATGATGATAAAATAGGTTTTAATGGTTGTGACTGATTTAGTAAGGCACTAAATAAAAAAAAAGTGTTGTTTTTTTTCCAACAAATTAGATAGGTTTTTCTAAAGTAGGGAATAACTCGATCATATCTTCTTCTCAAAGTATAAATATGAACCCAAACTCTAATAAGTAATCCTGTTTGTATGGAAGGACACATGTGATTAGAGAAAGGTACTGTTTCAGAGGCATAGATTGTGTGGATAAGAATATGTTATGATGTGAAATCAGCTGCACAACACAGCATGTGGACCATGAGCAAGCTTAGCCTCAGTCAAAAAGAAAACAGTACTCCTGGTGAACGTACACACTAGCTAAATCCTAAAATTGCACCGATCCAGGGCCAAACATTAGACCGTTTAATTTAAATTGTAGTCGAGCTGTTATTAAACAGTGAAAGACCTTGCATTATGCTCTTCTTGAAGATGTTGTTTTTGGGGGCAAAAAAAGTCAAACTAATTAGGGGATTAAACTCACTGACAAACAAATAACAGCAGCCCAGTAATTTACCTGGGATAATCACAGGTATTATCTCTGGACAGCGGCCTATAAAACTGGGCATAAGCGCGGGTCAAATGGCAACACTGAAGACAGATCTGCCAGGAAAAGATGGAGCAGATTATCTTGCTGTGTGCGCTCTCAGCCTGTCTCTCAGCTGTGAATGCTCAGGTAAACATGCAGAGGAACCTGAGAGAGAATGGCATTCTGTGTAGAAATCTGCTTATGACTGATTGATGTTTGTTTTCTTCTTGCAGAAGTTTTTACTCAGTCCCAGATGGGTTCCTGTTGGCTTACAAGGTAACTTCTTTACTAAAAAAATAAAATCATATTTTTGTGAATGCTTTTGGAAGAACAGCTCAGCTAACATTAACTCTCCATGAAAGAGCCTGCAGGAAAAAAAGATGGAACTGCAATGGATAAAATCATAAAAACCAATGACCTTTATGGTGAGTTGATTAGAATTTTTACCAATTTTCATGCAATTTGCAATACAAACTGAGACTTGTGTTGAACTGCCCTGAACTATCCCCATATAAGCTTCCAGTGTCATAGAGGGCTCCAGCACCCTCAGAGAGGGAGACATTGCTGTATCCACTGGAAGGCGCTCCAAGATCTGCTTTGCCCGTAGCTGCCTGTGGTCCAAATCTGTGGATGGACATGTCTACATTGCCTATACGCTCTCAAATGAGTACTGTAGGTTAAGGGATTGGTAAACCTATTCAAACTGAATGCTTTTTAAATATTCATATTCGCCTTTAGTAAGTTGTACATTCTCTGGATAATTATACAGCCGCCCTTGACACAAAGCTGATAAAGGAGGGAATGGACAATATAGAGGATAGTACCTGCATCCGCTTTGTTCCTCGGACTCACCAGAGAGATTACATTGACATCCAGCCAAAGTCTGGGTAAGTCATGTCAGAAAAAAATAAATAAATAAAACCATCTCTATAATAAATGTTTATTTTTGTTCCAAATATATATATCTGAAACGCTGATGCTTTTCTATTTTTGTGCCAATAAATGAAGGTGTTGGTCCTACCTTGGTTCTCGTGGTGGAAAACAGACCCTGTCTCTCCAGAATCCGAATTGTATGGAGATCGGAGTGATTTCCCATGAACTAATGCACGCTCTAGGCTTTGTGCATGAGCAGTCCCGCTTTGATCGGGACAACTATGTCACCATCATGTGGCCGAACATTTGGAGAGGTCCCCTTTAACACACATATTTAAAATGCTTTGCACCATGCAACAAATATAAAAGATGTACTTCAATTAGTTTATTTCCTCCAACAGATCGGCTGCGAAACTTTGAGAAGTTTAAAACCGACAGTCTGGACCTGCCATATGACTACAGCTCAATCATGCACTTTGGGATGTAAGTATCATTTACCAGGTAAATTATAAGGCACATTTCAATCATAGGAATATTGTCCTTTTTGTGTGTTTTACAGCCAAAGGAAATGCAACATTCTTTTTTATTTAAATCCGTAGGAAATTAGAACATACAATAAGAGCAATAAAAGGGATTTTTATATTAAAATGGTGCATTATGTTTTACAAAATGTTGATCATATTAATAGAAAGTCTGGTGCACAAGTAAAGCACATTTAAGAGTTTCTGGGAGATGCACAACACACAGACTTTTCCAGGACATGCTCACCTTCCTTGTGTTCAGGCACTCCTCAAGTGGAGCCCCTGTAAGAAGTATATTACCTGCTGCACAATGGTCAAACAGCCTTCTTTTCAGATGAAGAGTCTGAAAGAATAGAGGCATAAAATTTAAGTTGGGTGAGGTCCATGGTTAGTTTCCAAAGTCCAAAGTCAGTGCAGCTGTCTATTAGGAAATTTATTGCACTTCATGCTTCACTCTGGTGATGAGCTTTATGGAAAGATGTTCATTTTCCAGCAGGATTTTGACCCTATTCTCACAGCCAAAAGTACCATTAGCATGTTAAATAACTATGGTGCCACAGTGCTTGCAAGCTGGCCTTAGCTGAACCTCATAGAGAATCTATGGAATACTGTGAAGAGAAACATCAAACCAACAATTAGAGCTACCTGGGCTCCCTTAACACCTGGGCACCTCAACAGGCTGTTCACCTCTTGAAAACAAAGAAGGATTTCATGCATAATAGTCTTTTTGATTATTCAAATGAGTGTCTGACATTTTGAAATATCTGTGTAATTAATGAATCTAACATGGTATATACTGTACTTCACTTGATGAATTAATATGCTCTAGAAAGTGCCTCCTTAATCATATTCTCATTTGCTGAGACTTACCTGTATACTGATGTTTCCAGGTATGCCTATTCAATGGGCGGGCAACCAACCATCGTCCCAAAGAACGGAAGAAACGTTAAGCTCGGCCAAACATCGTCTCTCAGTCACATCGACAAGCTGAAAATCAACAGACTCTATGAATGCGGTTCGTACAAAAAAAAAGAACTACTAGCTTATATTTTCGAGCTCCTCAATGAAATAGTGCTTCTTTTTCTTTCTTCCTGCAGCTGTGACTGATGATTAGCACCTGAACCGAGTCGAGGTGGAGTCCTCTGAAAGCAGAAATGATGACTTGCTGCTGATGTCCCTGCAGAAAATTCTTACTAAAATCTCCCTATAAAGCTTCCTGTGTTTTTTGTGTATCCGAACTGTTTGTTTAAACGAGATGTGCGACTTTATGTTGGATGGGCCATGAGACAGAATTGGCGTAAACCTTTCCTGTTGTACAGAAAAAAAGATAAGTTGAAACTTTCTGCCTGTTTTTAAGTAGTACTTACTGCAATAAAGTTGTTAATGAATCAAGAAATTTTGATTGCATCTTAATTATTGTTATTCAATAAGTTACTTTATGTAAAATAACGTCTCCAGTTCACTTGGTTTATTAGATAACAGTCCAGTCCATGCTAAAATAATGCCTCCTTGCCCTATTTTAGATAATTTTGGGTGGTATGATAACCATGACCTGCAGATTTCACATCTACACAGCAGTCCTACATTGTTTGCCGTTCCAAATTGCCCCTCGATAAAAATAGCTATAATATTTGAAGAGGGATATCATCCTGTTTATATATGTTTACCTGTACTGTTATCATCAGATCGTATATCACTAAATCACTGGTTACCAGTCAAGTCAGAGTCAAATTGCTGGTCTTGCTGGACTGGGTGGACAGCTATTCCTCTAAGAGCAGCTGCTTTGATAGCAAAACACCTCTAAGTGTCTCATTTCAGAAAGTGCTGAATAATGAAGGTCAGCAGAGGGACCACCTGTTGCGGATCAGTAGTGGACTTGAGTAAATTACACCCCCTGGATGATAAGAGGTTTTCGGGTCACGCATTCATCACAGGAGTTGGGCCCAATCAGTACAAAGCTGTGGAGGAGAGGAGGGTATAAAGACTCTGTGAAAGTGGGAACATTTGTGAAGTCTGACATTTGAAGGCAAGGATCTGAAGCCAACTGAAAGGCAACGATGGCCTCTATGACTGTGCTCCTGGGCATCTTGTTGGGTGTCCTCATCCCTGTGGATATGCTCCCAGTTCAGGTCAGTACCAGGAGGAAACATTTAACAGAGAACCGTCTGCAGTTCATATGTTTTTTAACAAAAATTCTAACTTCACTGACAGAATTCAACTGGTGTACATGAGGGCAAGCTGAGGCTGAAGAGGAAATACTCTGGTGAGATCTATGAAGAAGGTATTTACATACAGCTGCACCTCTGTCAATTAATATAACCAGAGCTCATTCATCTTGAACATTCATTTCAAGAAGTGAAACTTATATAACTCACAAGCTCTAGAGAGACTTTACACTTGCAGTGACATATTTCAAGACTTTATTTCTGTTGAGAAAACACAAATCTTATTTCCTCGGAAGATTTGAATGTTACATTAGACCTGACGTTGTCAGCCTACCAAAAAATATACAAAAGGTACTTTACAGTACATGTACTCAATACCTGTTTGAGGTTCCTTATGGATGATTTAGTATTTAAATGTAAATTGGCCTAAAGGTGGTCAACCTGTGCTCCTGTTTATGAGTAAAAATCATCCAAATGGCGTTGATAGTAGATATGCAGCTGCTCTGCATCAAGTCTGGTATCTTTACTCTTCCTCAATATGATATTGATGTATTTGGTGGTTTGGGCAGGTCCCAGGTTCTGCTGAAAAATGAAATCAGAATCTGTTTTTACAGCACTTCTTCCTTCTATTAAACTTTCTATTTATATGCTGGCATAGGGCTCTCTAGGAAAGGCCTTTTTTAGCAGTGGCCTTCTGTGGTTCACTGCGTCAGGGACTGTTGGGGGCTTTAAAGTCAGTAAAGTTTTCCTCATGACAACATCTCTGCATCAAAAACCATTGCGTTGCTCTGTGGTACTATTCCAAAGTTTACAGACGCTGGATATTGGTTTCTTTACAACGTCATAAGCCATAACTATGAAAACTCACAGAAATAAGTACTTGAAATATTGATATACCTAGTTTCACTTTAAGTTTTGAATAACCCAAGTAAGTGACCTTTCAGTTATATTCAGATTTACTGACATGCATATTAACATGCCAGTAATATTGTTTGTCTCATAATATGTTTGCAAAAAATGACAAAGACTGCTCTTTCTTTATGTCAAGATGAAATCACAGACCGAGACCAAATGACAGCGATGGATCAGATCCTTGAAGTCAACAGCAGTAAGTGGGATGTAAATTGAAATGAAGTCTGTCGACTTACTCTCTGTAAGTTTTGTTAAATGTTACACTTTAGGGCTGCGAGCGCCTAGAGGACTGTCATTCAGAGAAGGAGATATTGCCTATTCATACGTGCGCAGTGCTATAAACTGCCCTGGGAGTGCCTGTCTGTGGCCTAAATCAATTGATGGATTTGTTTACGTCCCATACATCGTCTCTCCTCTATATGGTATGGATCAATTTAAAGGGGTTTACAGATAGGCATGCTTTGTAACTAAATGGTCCTGTTTTTCATCTGTAGATGACATGGATAGAATCACAATTGAAACAGGAATGCAAGAGATTTCCTCTGGAACCTGCATCAAATTTGTTCCTCGCACTCATGAGGCCAGCTTCCTTGACATCCAGCCAAGATACGGGTGAGACAGGCTCCTTACTTATGGATGTTCCTCTTTAAAGAAATGCAATAAGATTTGCTCTGTGCCCTCCCAAGCTGCTGGTCGTTCCTGGGGCAGACTGGAGGAAGCCAAACCCTGTCACTGCAGACCCCTGGATGCATGTGGTCGGGGATTGCTGCTCACGAGTTCATGCATGCCCTTGGCTTCGTGCACGAGCAGTCCCGCTCGGACCGAGACCACTATGTCACCATCGTGTGGAAGAACATCATGCCAGGTTTGGATGAATGGCCACTGCTAAGGATTTTAAGTACATTTCTACAGAATATGACTAATGTCGTTTTTTGTGCGTTTGACAGCCCAAATGCATAACTTCAGGAAACAGGAGACAAACAATCTGAACAGCCCATATGACTACAGTTCGGTCATGCATTACGGACGGTAAGCTGCTGCTTCAGATTTAGTGATGGGGGGGGGGATCATGTTTCCCCCTCCGTTTTTTTTTTTCTTTTTCTGTCATTTAGATTAAAACAAATTCTAATCTGAGTCAAAAAGGAGTATAGTGGGTAAAAAAAATTAGTTCTCAATAAGGGGTTTTAAGTATTGAAGGAATAGAAAATCTACCTAAACCAACCCGGCCCTGTGTGAATTCATTAACTCTCATCGACAATTTCTTTCACTAACCATAAATAGGTTTTTTTTTTTTATTTCTAGTCCGAAAGATGTAGAAATCACAAAAACAGAATGTGTTCAATGTGAGGCGAGCACTATAACAGAACTTTAAAACTATCAAAACATAATTTAATCTCTAGAGAAATTCAAGAACGGATAGGAAACAAAGACTTTCAATCCAAAACGAGTGAGAAAACCACTGACCACCATGGCCAATCAATTAAAATGACTCCAAGAGCACGTCTGGAAGACATAAAGGACATCACAAAAGCACACAGAATAACATCTAAAGCACAGTAGGCAAGAGATCGTTTAATGCAGCTTTTTAAGGCCAAAGCTAATGCAGATTATTTTGACATACAGTCCTACCAATCCTTCATGTGTGCAGTTATTATTTTATTTTTTTTGGTGGATTTTTGAAGCCATTATTGCTTTTTCTTCCTGCGTTTACATGATAGAAATGACACGATGATAACAAATGTTACACATATCTAAATTTAAAAAAAGAAACAATGCCTAAGATGCTGATGAAGGTTCTCAGTCATCCAGGTCATAGTGCCTTAAGATGAAGCTTCACATAATCTTAAGGCATGTCTGGGGTTTGCAATAATGAATCAGTGAATGCATGCACATATCGGCCCAATACCAATACTAGGAAAAAAACTAGCTAATGCACCAGTACACCCCTTTACTACAGGCTTCACTAGCCTGAGTTGAGTTAGAAACTGCAAACTACATATTGCTACAAATAAAGAAAAGATCATCGTCAAATTTGTCAAAAAAAAAGAAAAGAAAAAAGAACAACCGTCTAATTGATCTAAAAGACCTTTTGGGGAAAATGTGCTGTAAACTAAGAAGGAAGAGGTGGAACTTTTTGGAAGATGTGTGTCAGTTATATCTATAAACAACCACATAGAAAAAGCATGGTGGTGATAGTGTGATGGTAAGGGGTTGCTTTGCTACTTCGACTCTGAATGGCTTAAATAAAACAGAGAAAAACAGGGACTGAAAGTTTTGAATACGTGTCATCAAAACCTAAATCCAATGAGATTGCATAACAATATCATGAAGAGTCAGTTCCTGCTCAAAACCTGCACAATGTTGCAGAACTAAAATAACCCTGTGAAGAAGAGAGGGATGAAACCTTTCCAGGGGGATGTAAAACACTCATCCTCCCTGGGATGAGTCTCTTGGTTGCATTTTTTTTCAGCTAGGGGGGTGCAAGCTTAGAAGAAATTTTATCAATTTTAGAAAACACTCAATAACAACTTGTTGTTTTCACTCAGGTGCTTTTTTTATGACACTGTGTGAATCAAGTGTGACTGATAAAAACTATAAAAACAGACATTTTCAAAGGGAAAATACTTTTTCAAATCACTGGAAATGCACAGTCTTTGCTCTTGAGGAAAAAGGGGCATCCTTAAATTTTCTACACCTCTGATTCAGATACGCCTTCTCTGAAGACGGCGGACCAACGATCATTCCCAAACCAGACCCCTACATTCCTATTGGCCAGAGAGACGGACCTAGTGCGCTTGATCTCCATAAAATAAATGTCCTCTATAACTGTGGTAAGTCAAATGACGCACAAACCGGTCCAGTAAAATAAAAAAAATACATTGATTGTTATTCTGTCTGCCTTACAGGTGTTAATGAGTAATGACTGCAGACATCTGTGAGGTCCTGCCCCATGTGTGAATCACTTTATATATTCTTAAGTAAAAATACAGACGATGCACCTGAAGATAGTTAATTTTGCAATAGATGTGCTTTTATTATTTATAACGCAGCATATGTTAAATTGTATTCATTCACCTTTTTGTGCAATGCTTTTTACTCACTAAATGATAATCTATGTTTATCTCTCATATGTATAATCGCTATTAATAACCCTGTCCAGTGCCAAAGCTCTTTAGATAATTATTTAATATCTCTGAAAAATAATTCTGTACAACTGTAATTTCTTCTCAAATAAAAAAATGCAACAGAAAATCTTGTGGTTCCGTTTTATAATCTGTATTTTTATGGTTAAATGGCTAAAAAAATAACAATTGTAGTCTTGAATAAATGCTGAATTGTGTTTTCTCTCTAACCAACTGCTTATGAAAAAAGAAAACAAAAAACCCCACAATGGCTCAATTTTTTGTTTCCTTTGCTTTTGACACCAGCTTGGCAACATAAAAGAATATACATTTTTACCGATAAAATTTTAAAAGACTGAAGCACACAGATTATCTATGACAAATTGTCTTGGAACCACATAGATGATACTTAGTACAGTTTGCTGACATACATATTAACGATTTATTTCACCTGTATAATATATTTAATATAAACTCTTATTGAACAGCCTCAACAAATGTAAAAATACACTAATTCTCAATGAACAAATATAAGGTCTATGTTTTGTGTATAAATGTAAGCACCATTGGCCATGAGCTATGTAAGCCACCTGGCTTGGCTGTAGGCAGGAAGGATCTTCTGTCTTGCACCGGATCTCGAGAAGCCTCTTACTGAAGACACTCTGTTGTTGTTGAAAAATCTTCTGAAGAGGATGCTCACTGTTGTCCATAATTTCTCTTCACTTTATGATACAATCTCCAGAGGTTCTAGAGTAGTTCCTAGAACAGAGCTGGCCTTCTTAATTGGCTTGTTGAGGTTTTTTAAGTCATTAGCTCTAATTCTGTTACCCCAGCAGAGGATGGAAGAAGAAATATCTCTCTCCACAACAGATTTATGGAAGATATGTAGCATCTTGCTGCAATTCTTCATAAGCTTCCTTATGAAGTAACATCTGCTCTGTTCTTCCCTAGACGGCTTTACAGTTGTGTGTCTAGAAAATGGAGGAATTAAAGTTCTCTTAAAAAAAAAATCTGAGTCAAGCTAGCAGTCCAACATGTCGTCACTTTAAGCAGCGCAATTCCAATATATATAGAGAAAACAAATGACATTACAAAAATAGACAGACAGACAGAAAATAAGTATAAATAAGTATAAGTACACCCTGCTATTTTGCAAGGTCTCCCATCTAGAAATTTTGGAGGGATCCCTACTGTAAAGCATGGGGGTGGTAGCATCATGCTTTGGGGTGTTTTTCTGCACATGGGACAGGGCGACTGCACTGCATTACCAGGCAAGATGTTTTGGTCCCCTGCACGCCGTGGAGGATTGAGATGATTCAGTGATTCAGATGAATCAACTCTATCGCTGCGTTATAGATTTTTGAGAGCTAAAACCTGAACACCCCCCTTCTCTCTTATGTTTTCCTTTTTCCCTTTTTTGAAATGAGTATGACCTGGATGACTGAGAATCTTCACCTGTTTCTCAGTGACAGCCCAGAAACCTGAATAATCTGGAGGAAATCTCTTCCTCAGTGTATATATATATATATATATATATATATATATATATATATATATATATATATANATATATATATATATATATATATATATATATATATATATATATATATATATTTATATGTATAGAGTGACGTAATTACATTATTATTACATTATTACCCAGAGAAAGCCCGGCTTCAGACAGCTCCCATTTCTCTCGCGAGAGTTGACCGAGGCATGGAGGAGGAGCTAGACTTTTATATTCGCTCACACACTACCTGCTATGGTCAAAGCCTTGCAGACTGTAAACGGGTCTAAGTACATTCCTCAATTTTGTCCGTTCTTTAGCCTTAAATATGGGCGACAACGACAAAGGCCGGGTACGTAAGAATTTCGTTGCATGTTTTGTATTTGATATAAAAAAACGAGCATTTATTTTCGTAAACTCCTTGATATAAACGTTTTTACACTAGCACCAGCAATAAGCTATTTTGGTATCTCAAATTTCCAATTGCAGTCTCCAATGTTAACCCATAAAGTTTTATATAACAACATGTGTTTAGGAATATAATTAACATGCTAACATTAGCTTCCTGGCTAATACTAGCATTTTGGTGTTGCTAGGCCTCGGATACGAAGTTAGATTCCGAATTGTCGTCAGTGATTTTTTTTTTTTTTTTTTTTTTCTTAAAGTCATACGCAGTTGGATCCAACTTTGTTTTTTTTTTTTTTTCATAGCTCTAAATTCAGATTAGATCATGTGCTAAAATAATAATTATTACAATCATTCAGATTAAGACACATTGTTAGTTTTAATTAAGGTCTCTGGACTGAAGGGGGGTTAAAATATTTTCCCCTTTTTTCAGCTGTAAAAATATGGTTTGAAAATATTTACACGAATTGTGATGAGTTTTTTTCCTCGTCAAATAACATCTTCATTTTAGGCAATGAAACTACATGATTTTATAAGGATACATCCACGATTCGGAACCTAACTTCGGAGTCGTTTATAGCTGGTGCAAGCTTTTTCTTTCGATTTATCAGTTCGTTTTTGTTGTATAATATTGAATTTTAAACCAATAAAAAAGAAGAGTATTCGAAGTCACCTTAGCCGTATTCATGTTTCACATGAAAATCTTAAGTATAGGTAATTAAACCTTTAAAAAGCAGATTGGTTTCGACTTCCCTTGATGGAAAGTGCTAGAACGAAGGGAATTTTCTCGAACGCCGTTTTTTTGTTCTAGAAGGAATCGAACCATTTCTTTACGTAAATTAATTTAAATTAGCTCATTTTTATTTTGGAGTTAGAACAATATATTCTAATAACGTGAATTGCATTTAATAATAGTTACATTTATAGGAATGTTTTTATTGCTCTTTGGCTCGCCAAACCGGCGCTATTGAACTGATGTGGAGGAACAAATATAAATGCTTTAAGCCAAACAGCCTAAAAATACTTCATTTGTTTTATTCCCGCTGCAGGCAGCGTTTTATATTCACATTTTTAAACCAGCTACTAGCAGGGCGTGCTGAAGTTGGCATTCGATTCGTTGCTTCTTCAGCTCGAGCTGTTCAGTAAAGGATAAATTGTCTAAATCTTACTAAATCACGCTTGATTCTTGATGATTAAATGTATGTTGCATGTTCATTAGGGATCCAGTTTGACCTTTTTTCTATTCTTTTTTGTATTTACAGTCCAATTTTAAACGGGAAAATCTATTTTCTAAACTCTGTCCAGGTTTGACCTGTCTGGATCATGTGGTGTTTAAACTTAAAATTATTTGTTTGTTTTCCTTTTTCTATTAACTATCAGGTCAGGATCAAACTGCTGTAAAAATAGCCATATATTCAATAAACAAAGCCAAGGTGCAATTGGATGCCAATTTCAGGGTCGTTACTGACGATTTGATCATCTCTACAGTTGTGGGTTTACAAAACCTGTTGAGGTGTGGAGCCATTACTGGTTTCTATTTAGCTGCTGCTGTTCTTCTTCATTGCAAACAGCAGACAAATATAGCCTCTACCATCTTGTGACTGATAGGATTGTTGATAGACCAGCCAGTTGAATGCAGAAGAACATGAAAGATCTGTTTATTGTTTTTCAGAAAGTACAAAATGTCATGTAAAACTATGAATGCAATCCACTTCCTCCTTGTTTTATTCTCTAATTAGTTCTGAAATGTAGTCCAAAGGTCTTGTGCTTGTTTAGCATTTAGTTGTCGGAGTTGTATGCAAATGAAACTTGCCTTCACCGTGAGGTTGTTTTTGATTAAACTAGGTTGTATTTGTTTATATTTTTTCTGATTTTAAACCTTTCACATTCAGTGATTTTATGTTCGCTATGTTGAAAGGAAGATTATTATTCTAAGATAAAAATGTTTTACTCTTTTTCAAGGAAGAAAAAAGGTAAAATATTTCTGCATGTAGTGTTTTCTTCAATAGAAATTGCATGATACTTTAAATATGAGCTTCTGTTTGCAGGGCTATTGAATCTTTTTATAGTAAGACACAGTAGTGAATGTGGAACCACTGAAGGTGAAATGTATTAAACTGACAGTTGTGCTTCTGTAACCTTGAACATTTGTCACAAATCCTGCTGAAAATTTGAATGAGCGTGCCGTTTTAATTATAGTCATATATTCTTCATCCTTTTCTTTTCCATTAAGGTTAAGGTTCGACGAAGAAAATGCAGAAGAAGTCTCATGTCCACTTTATTTTCAATAATATGAAGCTCAGATGCGTGAAGCTGAATTATTGAATGCATGCTAAACATGAGGAGGGAAGAACTTTGAGCAGTGTGTGAGAAGGGGAAGTCAGAAGATGTAAGAAAATTGAAGAAAGAAGAATAATGTGAAGTAATGAAGTTACAGAAATGAAGTTAAGGAAGTAATCTGGATAAGGTCGCTGCGCTAAGTAATTTTCTGGTCTATTTATCAAATGCGTGCATGTCATTGTTGTTGAATACATCACACTTTAATTTGTTATTGCTACTTTTTTTTACTTTTGTATTTTTAAATCTTAACTACATAATTTGTTGATGTAATCCTAGTGATTTCATGTTCTCATTGGTTAGACAAAATAACATTCATAATTGACTATATCTACATCTTTTTTTCTTTTGTTCAAATTTTCCAGGATAGTTTGAATTCTCTACTCAAATGCTTTGTAGCATATTTTTTTCCTTTTTGACCACCTTGTCTGTGGTTATAACGCGCTGGTGTGTGTGTGTGTGTGGTTCGTTCAGGAGTCCCGCTCCGCTTCCAGGAGCGCGAGTCCCCGTGGCTCTAGGAAGTCGATAAGCCACTCCCCAGCTCATTCCAAAGATGGATCCCATCGCTCCCGCTCCAAGTCCTGGTCTGGCTCCAGGTCTAGATCAGGGTGAGAGATCATTCTTTTAGAGCCCCAGTGGCACTAAACTGCTCTCCTTCAAACAGTTGTTTCAAAAAAATGCTTACGTTTTTTGCTGCCTTGCAGCTCCCATTCTCACCATGGCTCTCGCAGACACTACAGCCATTCCCGGTCCCGCTCCAGGTCCTACCGGCGTAGATCTCACAGCAGGTCCTACAGTGGAGAGCGCCGGCGCAGAAGCACCAGTCATTCACCCATGTCCAATAGGCGCAGGCATATTGGTAATCGGGTGAGTTGCAGAATTTGCTTTATGAACTGTTGAACTGGTGGGCGCTGATGTATTAAGGCAGTATGTTCACATCCAGACCTTTTTATTTGCTCAAATGCAGGCTAATCCAGATCCAAATGCTTGCCTGGGAGTGTTCGGCTTGAGCTTGTACACCACAGAGAGGGACCTGAAGGACGTCTTCTCCAAGTATGGGCCCCTGGCAGATGTTTGCATCGTGTATGACCAGCAGTCAAGGCGCTCCAGGGGCTTTGCTTTTGTTTACTTTGAGAACACAGCTGATGCTAAAGAGGTAACGGAACACTTAAATCAATCATCATTACAAAACATAAAATTAATTCTTTATATTAAAGATGGATGCTAACTTCATTTGGTATCAGGCAAAGGACAGAGCTAATGGTATGGAACTGGACGGCCGTAGAATCCGGGTGGATTTCTCAATCACAAAAAGACCTCACACCCCCACACCAGGAATCTACATGGGCCGGCCCACATAGTAAGTCAGCTGTTTATTTGGAATAAGACTTGTGCCTTTTAAAAGGGATTTCTTATACCCTTTACTTAAGTTTCCTGCTTTATGAACCCACAAATTTAAAAAATATTTCATTGTTTGTATGACCATTATGGAGACCAAGAAACGCTCCAGTAGGTCAGCGATTAAGTTTGGCTAGCTTGGCCAGCAAGACTGACTTACACCCTGCCATCAGTCTGTAAAGGAGCTGGTAGTGATAGACTTCTAAGGCTGGTCTAACTAATAGACATTGAAAAGGGTTATAACCAGTCGAATAACTACAGAGACGTGACACTAACACATAAATAAAAAGAAACTCCTAAAGCAGCCAGTTGTAGATGTATTTATTAAAGCAAAGTTGAGACTATCTTGACTGCTTACTGAAAAGTGATGCCGCTTTGGATAATTTTCAGGCAAATGCTGTGAGTCTAAGCCTTCCTAGACTGACGAGCTGGCTGGTCATGCTAAAGCTATGAAAACAATATGAGCAAGAATAGTTTTTTTTTCTTTTTTTTTTCTTTCCTCTAAAAAGAAATGGTTAATTACCTAAACTTGTAGATGGAGCAAGGAAAGCATCACTCTGGTAAGAGATTGTTCACAACTTGGCTGCTGAAAATATAAGCCTATCCTGTATGGAAATGTGGCAAAATGAAAGTTATTGATTAAAAAGAATACAATTCATGCAGTCTAAATAGTTTCCTCTTCCTGTTTTGTGGCTAGTTTGGGGACAATAATACTCCAAACCAGAGGGGGGTGCCAAATGCACAGCAGTAAAATATTTTTAGATCATGTGCAGAGGAAGGAGGGTTTGCTGTTTTCCATGGATTTGAAAATCTGTGCCAAGGCTATAAAATGACATGTTCAGACACACTGCATCCAGTCTGATGGAGCGGGAATTCTTCTGCTGGGACTAATGGGCTGTAATTTCAGACTGCATGTCTGTAAAACTGTTAGAGGTGTACCCCACAAACAAGCTACGGTATGCAATGGAAGGTGGCTTATTAAGAGTTAGCTGAGGAGGGGCTAAATAGGTGTGTGAGGGAGACAAGTTTCAGATTTTTTTTGTAAGTAAAAAAAAATCCTTCTGCTTTACAAGTAGTGACAACTTTCTTTTGGTCTGTTACTTTTTATAACCTGCCAAATACATAGAGACGTTTTGTGGTTCTTTTGGACATTGAAAGTGATTTGCATGTCTGCCTAAAATGAAGATATCCTGATTTCAATTGCTTTTAAATTTCAACTGGAATAAATCATTTGTTCTTTTCTAGTGGCGGAGGTGGTCCTGGTGGACCCAGACGCTATTCACGTGACTATGATCGTGGATACGACCGCGGATATGACAGAAGCTATGATCGCTATGACGACAGGGATTACTACAGATCATACAGGTGACATTCTCCCTTTGAGAGCTGCTGTTTTTTTGCTATTTAACATTGGAAAAAAATGCAACCTTGGTTTCTGATTTTTCTGCCTCTATTTTTTTTCGTTGCTAACAAGCATTTTATATATACATATATTTTAGACGAAGATCTCCATCACCATACTACAGGGGAGCGTACAGATCTCGGTCAAGATCCCGGTCCTATTCTCCCCGTAAGTCCAGATATCAGCTATTTTAAAGAGTTGTCTGTAATTTTACCTAATGACTGTTTTCTTTCGCAGGTCGATATTGAGCTGTTGAGGCAGACATTAATCCCGCCTTTCCATGGACAGATGAGAGTTTTCTCCTAAAGATTCGAATTTCTTGTAGATATCCTACTCTACATGGGGACAAATGGGTTTCTTTGATATGGAGTTTTTTGAGGAAGTTATGTATGAAGTGCTAGAACACCAGCAGTGTAAGCTTTTTAATGTGGGTATGTGAAAAAGGAGAGCAGAAAACCTTTTCCCCCATTACTGCCCCTGGAGCTGTTATCTTTCTGCAAAATGTGAAACTTGGGAGTTGTTCATCTGCCCATTTCTCAGTTGGTTAGTTTGGTTTTGTGTAATCTGGTGTTTAAATGCCCCAACCTGGTGTAGCCTCTCAGAATTGCTGCGTCTCCCACGGTCTCCAGGTGCAGTTAATGTTCCTGTCAGGAAAGGCTTTGTAGCTTCACAAAATATATACAGCATCATTAGTTTCTGAGAAATACAGTATGCTTTTATTTAAAAGACCAATTTCTCATCCAGTTCCACATTAAAGAAACCAAACTCTCCCACACAGTTGATCCGCATTCTTCCTCTTTCTTATATTTGATCAGTATAAATGGAATCACATGTAAAGCAGTGCCCTCATTGTTTTTTTTTTTTTTTTTAATGTACAGAAAAGGTTTATTGTTGTAAAAGCCGTGTTAAATTATGGGTTTTGTTGTGTACGAGTGAAAATTCAACAACCTTAAAGATTAAAAGGAGTTGTTTTTTTCCATAATGTCTGTCTCATTCTTTTCACTGAAAAAGTGTTTTTTTTTCTTTTGAAAAAAAAAAAAAGATTAACATAAAGCATATCTTTGCCAATTCATTTAGCTTGGAAAAAGAAATATTACTAATATATTTCTTTCCTTTTTATTTATTTATTTTTTTTTTTTATTTTTTTTTTTTAATAAAAATGCTAGTTTAAAATTATGATTGACATGAACACACACTTTTCTCAGTTTAATCATATTTGGCTTCCGGGAAGTTTCCCTGCTAAAAAAAAAAATTAAAAAAAAGGTTAAAGCTGGGGGAAAAAAAATGTTTTAAATATTTATGTTGAATAAAACCTGTAGATATGCCCAGAACATTATTATAATTAATTTACAAGGTAAGAAATTAGAGCTACTGAAATGTTTTACCATTTTTTCCCAGGTTATATTGACCACATCTCATCACATGGTGAGAGTAAAGGCTTCATTAATCTACAGGGGCCTGAAGTCCTACTGCTACTTCTGCTGGTTAATATAAAAAGCTGAGAAGTCCTTAGGGGGGCGGGGCAACAGATTACATGTCCATCCGAATATAGATTTCACCAAGATGAGATAAAAAAAAAAAACTCATGTTAGTTAAATTCATTCAGGCTTTTCTATTTTTATCTCTGACATGTTTTGTCTGTAAGGTGGACTGGCTCTAATTCAATTTATACTTTACTCCAATACGCATATTTTAAATATGAACCGTTTGAAATGGTGGTTTAAGAAGAAAGACAAAATATAGTTGTCATATTTAAAGTGACATCAGGAGGAAGTAGTGTTGAGTTATTTCCTTTGACTAAAACAAGGTCCTAGTAATCCTTTTGGTAACTTAAGAGATTCCCATGCATTCATCTATGTTTTTTGTAAAACTGTCCTGGTTATAGATTTGTCAGAAAAAGCTGCCACTAGAATTAAACGCAGGTTTGTGATATTCAAAATTCTGAAAGTTTGTAAAACAGTGGGGAATTGGCGCAGTGAGGAGAGAAACCACAACAGCCTAACCACACCTTGGAAATACAGTTCCATGTTCCACTTCAAGTCCACATATGTGTCTCCACGTTCTCCCAAATGTCACATGCGTTTCCACTCAGGACATTTGTACAAAACTTGCTGCGCAGTGGTTCAAGCAGAAATAGTTTTTAAAAAAGCTGATTATTCAATTTTATTTGATTTAAAGCTGTTTTCCTTAGCTGTGTATTTGCTGGCTGGGTTGCAGAAAAATGCCCCACAATAATGGAGAATGTGTGCAGGCCATCAGGAAAGTAACTAAAGAGCTGTTTTGTAAATAAGCCACAGTTTGGACATTCCTCTGTTCACACACTGACGTAAAGCAGGCAAGAGAGAGGGAGCTGGTCACTCCTGGGGCTGGCACTTTCTGATCTAGAGTGGGGTGGCAGTAATGCTCCAACAGCTCAGAGAAAAAAAAAACATGTAAGAAACACAAAAAAAAAATAAAAAGGGGGGGTGCAAGGATTAGGCTCCTCCTCTGTGTAACTAGGTAGGAAACTACACATCCCATGCATGAGCACAGTTGCCACCGCCTTGCAAAGCTTTTGTTTGCAGTCCGCCTTAAAACATGCTTCCCTCCCAAACACACCCATTTGCAAACACTTAACGGCCATGGCAAACGAAAGGATCCCTGTGCAGAGCAGGGAGAAGCTCTTCCAGGAAATACCCTCCTTCATATCAGCATTTGATATTTCTACTGCCTTGGTTACACTCAAAATGAGATTTAAAAACAAAAACAGAATTTGACAAAAAATTGAATTTTAAATTTGCCTTGAGGTACAAAATACTAACAAAAAAGAAGGGGATGTGGTGTCACTTTATTGCATTAAAAAGTAATGTGTATTTTCAGTTGAAGGAATATTTTTGCTAATAAAATGAAAGAAATGAAAGTAATGTAAATGCTTAAAATTTTTTTATATTTTTCAAGCAGGTGCCGACTGCAGTGAAAAAGATCTAATAAATCCATATTTCTGTCTGGCTCATACATAATTAAAAACCTAAACTGAGCGAGGGATCGGTGGTGTTCTGTTTTAAGTAGACAAGAGCAATGACAATGACATGGATTTTCCACACAGCGGCTTTTATTTTTCTTTATTTCTTCCTTTCTCCTGTAGCTCAATGGAAGCAGAGGAACCTACAGGGGTCCAATGACCTGGTGGTATTTGATGCTTTTTATGGAGCTAAACACAATAATTTCATGAAGTGTGCAGTAAAATTGCAGAGGTTTCTCGAAAGGAATGCATTCATACATTTATGTATGAAAACAGGACGAGATCAAGTTGCTAAACAAGACGGAGAAAAAACACACACAGAATTAAACTTTATTGTCATTGCACTGTCATGAGTACAAAGCAACAAAATGTGGTTTGCATATATCCAGCAGTGCTATACATATTATTATTAGGTGTATGTACAAGCAAAAAGAAGAAGTTAGGGACTCTAAAAAGTTGTGTTTAATATCATTATGGGAGCTACATGCACAGATTATACAGAATATACAGGAATGTTAGGAAAAGGATTATATCAGAATCAGAAATACTTTAATAATCCCAGAGGGAAATTACTTTTGTTACACGCTCCAGATACAGTTTATATATATATATATATATATATATGCATATGTATAGCTAACTCCAAGTAAAGTGATATATGTATGCAGGTCCTATGTGGATGAGGTTATACTTGATATGATAAACATTGCAGCTCTCATACATCAATAAACTCTTAATGTTTTTTTTTTAATATGTTGCTGTGAAAATCTGCATTTTAAACCAAAAAATGAGCTAAACAGGAAAAGGTTTGGTAAAATGTATTATTTAGTTAATTATATCAGCATGCTTTTTTTGTTTATTTTTGGATTTTGTCTTTTTTTGTACTGAAAAAGAAATTAATATAGTATTAAATCAAAAATCAAAACCGATCAGCGGATTTAAAAATGAAAAACATTGATTTAAAAATAATTAAATTTGTTTTTTTTTTAAAAAATTAATAAATAAAAAATACCTTGGACCTTGAGCCCCAGTAGCATAGTGCCTCTGTAATCCTTCAGTTCATGATTATTTCACTCTGGTTTTGTGTCACAACCTCTGAATTATTAGTGGCACTCCTATGGCCACCCCTCCCTTTTGCAAAAGTTTTGGAGACGCCCCTGCCCTTCCCTTCTCCTCCTATTCCTTAACCAAGCCAAACCCCTTATCCCATGCAGCCTATGGGCCCTTATTATGGTTTCATGAAATAACCCCCCTCCTCTGCCTCCTTTAAGCCCATCCCTTCCAGTGAACGCAGCCTAGTGATCACCATGCCCCTCTGCGCGCCGGACCAGCGGCACATGCACCTCCAAACATTTTTTCTTGTGATTTTTAAGGGAGATTTTATTTAGAGGCGGCGCTTGTTTGCTCCGGAGTAATAGCGTCGTAGGCTGGTAACGACACTTTTTTTTTTTTTTTTAAACCTCACCTCACCACCCCCCTAGTCCCTCTTGAAAGAGTTTGACCGGGGCCAGAGTTGCTTGGTACAGGGGGGGTCCCTCATTTAGCTCCAAACAAACCTGGAGGGGGTCGTTTTCTAAAGAAATATATTTTAAATTTTTTTTTTTTTTATTATTTTATTCTTTTGTTTTTATTTTATTCGTAAGATCCGACAAGCCTTTTGAGATTTTACCCCCCTTCAGTTCTTCAGATCATGAACAAACTATACGTTGGGAATCTAAGTCCTTCGGTCACAGTCGAGGACTTGGAGCAGCTCTTCGGGGAGAGGAAGCTGCCAGCGCCCGAGCAGGTCCTGTTGAAATCCGGCTATGCTTTTGTGGACTTCCCCGATCAGAACTCGGCCATAAAGGCTATAGACACTCTCTCTGGTAAGTGTTTGGATTTTGATATTTTGCGCTGAGTGATGCTGCTGACAGGATCCAGTGGCTCAAAGTGAAAATGTGCAATATTTGTTATTGTTTTTTTTTTTTTCAAACACAAATCTTTCTTTTTTGTGATCTGAGTTATATCTATATTGTATAAATGATCGATCCCACACAGGAAAGAGTCGGAGGATTTTTTTTTAGAGGAAAACACGCGCGATCTGAACGCACATTTTTACGCGCAGAATCCCCCTTTTAATTCGTTTTATTTGGAGATTCCGATAGTGCATGGTTCTACTTTCTCTCCCCCCCTCTCTCCTCGTTTTTTTTTTTTTTTTCTTTCGCGATCAGCCGCTGGAATGTATATGGGATGGTCTCTGACTGACTGACTGGGTTCGGGTAGGCATAATTATTTTTCACTTATTTTTCGTCCTGATTTTATTGAGGAGCGCAGCGCGGCTCCAGCGCGGAAAACTTGTCGGATCCGGGTTCCCCCGGTGTCCGGCTATGTTTTTACGAGGTGTCTTGGAGGTGGGTCACGGGGGTCCGGAGGAAAAGGGCTCATAAACAGGTAGCTGAGTGTTGGAGGAGGAGATGGAGAGAAGGAGGGGGGGAGGAGGACGAGGTGACACGCTAATTCCGTGCTGCGCCAGGCCACTCACTCATTCCGTCTGTGCGTGATAGTATGACATTATTTTTATTTTTTTCCAAAAACAAAACAAAAAGAAAAACAGGAAGTACCCCCCCTTAAGATCTGTTTGTTGTTTGGCATTCTTTACAGGACAAACATATAGTCTCCCCTCATTGCACTGCTTGTGGGAGTGGAAAGCATGGCTGCCCATTCCCCTTACCTCCACCACCTCCACTCACACACTTCTATATAAGCGCACAAAAAATTACCTCTCCAAAGTGGATGGATTTATGCAAACATGTGCGCCACGGCGCGCGCACAGTAGGCCTACTTTCTTTAAATCATGAATGGGGACGCAGCCACCTCATGCATTGTTGCAAACACGTCTCACACTATTTATTTTCGCCTCTGCAGGTAAAGTTGAATTGCACGGAAAGCTGATAGAGGTAGACTACTCTGTTCCCAAAAAGCTAAGGTAGGCGCCTGCATTTACACCCACACACCTATGCTGCTCTGTTTCCATCTGTGTGTGTGTGTGTGTGTGTGACCTGTAGGCTTCCGCTGTGAAATATAGTAAGCCACATTTCCCTGTTTTTCTGGTGAGATTTCTGCCAGCCTGTTGTTGTAGCTGCTGTTTGCTATTGTTGCTTGGCGATTAAAGCCCCTAATTGTGCCTGTGATCAAAACAGAAGAAAGAAATAAAGAAAAGCGATTTAAATAAAGTGATTTTTAGTCCCAGCATCCGCAATGCACAGCCGTGGCTGCTGCCATGGTCCACTAAAGCGAGGCCCCTATCCTGCATACATGCAAACATATTGTTAGGCTTGATTGGATTTATTTTGTTGTAGATAATATGTGATTCATGAAGACAATAATTGTCATTATGTTTTTGAACTCTATGGCACAAGAAGTTGCAGTTAATCGACCTCCTCTGGATAATCTTTGGACGTTTTGATATTTTTGCGCTCAAGCGCATTACAAAAAGAAAAAAAAATATAGAGAGAGAGGCCTATACAATCTTAAATGTTTAGAAAGCACGTTTTTTTTAAGTGTGCAACGCTCTTTTTACGTAAAATGCGCCTCCACATTCTTGCCTGCTTATATAATTACTAATCTATAAGGAAAAAAGTACATGGCGTGACAAAAAAGGTAAATATTCAACCCTCTTGTGCAAGAACACGTGACCCCTACATCGTGTGAGTCCTCCCCCTTTCTAGTGCAAAGCCACACTTTCCTACATTAGAGCCATTTTTCATCGCCCCCCCCTTTCAGAAAGTGTTATTTATGTTTAAAAATGCACAACAGTCGAGGAAAAACGTGCAGTTGAAACACTTTAAAGCTTGATCTGCGAGGCGCAAAACATGGTGTCAAAGCCATGCGCCACTCCCCTGAGTTAATGTGCACGTAGGCCGTGCAAAAGCTGGAGGAGCTTCTCCTGTAATGGCTGCCATGATGATGGCCCTTTTGCGCTCTGCTGCAGCCTGCCCGGCTATAGGCGCACAGCAGCGCCGCAGGAAACGCTCCATACGGCGCATGTGACTGAGCGCATGTGTCCAGTCGGCAGTGTGTATGTGCAGCTGCTGGACCTGCTGAGCGTGACTCCCTGTTAGAAGAAAAAGGGGGCCTTAAAGCGAAATCTCCGCCATGTCTGTGAGGTCCATGAGCGGGGAAGCGGGTGCTGCGTACAGGTGTTCATTTGGAAACGCAGAGCCTGCTGGTTGAACGGGAACCTTTACAGCTTCTTAATAAATATGATATTATGATTTATGACGTAAAAAGCACAAAGGAAACAGGGAAATCCCGAAATCTCGCATGAATTTGCGGATTTGCCTTTAATTGTAGATATACCTCAATGAAAAAAGGCATAATTAATTAATTTTGGCTATTTACAATATTTTTGTTGTGTTGAATTTAAACTTCTCAAGGAATCTAAATAATATTTGCAGGTCATTATTCTAAAAGTGAGTCATTTTGGAGACGTTGAATTATACAAAAGCAAAACTTAATATATTGAATCTATACTATATTTATATTTGCAGATTAGTTTATTGATAATATTTAATTAAGCAATTTATCAAATTTGAGCAGAACTTAGGCCTTTTTAAAAGATTGCTCTTTTAGAATTATTGGATCTAATTTTGAAAAACAAAGTAAAATATTTTTTTTCTGCCCTGAAGTAAAACTATACTAAACTGTAAATATATTTTGCTCACATCAGTAGTAATATAGATATAAACATTGTCCTCTATGTGCATTTGAAATGCATTATGAGTGCATTCTTTTTTTCATAGAAAATATACTTTTGATAGTAAAAATTACACCATTCAAGATCATGGAGCCCCAAGACAAGGCCAAGACCTTATATGGTCTTGACCAATAAAAGGTATCGATACTGTTTGGTATCTGTTGGTTTGATCTTGAAAACAACAGTAACTTTTAAAGCATTTTTATGACTTCAGTTAAATTTTAATTCTTTGATTTTTTCCCCCTTACATATCAAGGTCATGTCTTATTTGTATTTAGAAAGAGAGTTTAACTTCATGTACAAAAATACATAATTATGATTCAAACAAAACTCGGTTTGGATTAAATGACACGACTCAGTCTGATCCATTATGTAATTCAGTAGTCTAACTCAGTTTATAGTTCCCACCCATTAATTAGTTACCTGTCTTTGGTAAATATGTGTTTTTTTTTTACAACTTAAAACTATTCTAAAAGACACACTTTTGGTGTAGTTTATTACAAATATTGTACTTATATTCTTTATGCATCATACAGAGTTAAAAAAATAAATATATTTAATTTATGTAAATTAATTCTACTAATATTATCTTTATTTTTACTTGCAAGGAAGGATGCAGATAATGTAATAAAGAAAAGGATTTGTTTTAAAATATATATAATTAAAAATCATATTTAGAGCTTTATGTGTGGTTTTGGGTTGGTTAATTAAATAACCCTAAAAAGTGTTTGACTTTCTTCCCACTGCATGTTTTATGAATTTATAATTAAATGGGCCTCAAAAATTAGCAATCTTTAAAGCTTGTTGGTTGTGATTATTTATTCTTTATTTTCATTCAGGCCTGTTTTAGTTTCAGCTGCTGTTTTTACTGCTTGTTAATTGCGTGTTGTTGTGTAACAAAGCGTATAATGCGTATTTGTGCCATTTAACAAATTCAGTCAGACTTTGCGCAAAATAAAAACATGCACTACCCTGGTTGATATGATGTATTTGAGGTAACACGTTTAAATGCTTTGCTTTAAGATCTGGGCCTTTTTTTAAAATGTGGTTTTGAGGTGTAAGATCAGTAGGTTTTCATGTTGCATGTAACAATTAAACAGGGCTCCTATTTGTGCAGTTATATGCTTTGCTGTTTTTAATAATTTCAGATTAACAAGTAAATTATTATGAACCACTGAAGCTTTTTAAACTTTTGAACAACTAATTAAAAATACAATAGGTTGATCCAGATAATTTGCAATGTTCTAATAACCTTCTGCTTTACATGATGGGACAATTTTATACTTGTCAACATTGATTTACTCACGCAAAATTCTTATAATTCAGAGGTTTGTCACTGTATATAAAAGGATACTTTAAAACATGTCTATAATTGGCACATCGTTTTGATTTAAAACTGTAGATTACTCTATTTGTTTAAATAAATACTGCAACAGAAGTCATGAAATTATAGCAAAAATAACAGATTATTNAGAATTGTCACATCGTTTTGATTTAAAACTGTAGATTACTCTATTTGTTTAAATAAATACTGCAACAGAAGTCATGAAATTATAGCAAAAATAACAGATTATTATGCTATTCTAGAGATATTAAATACATTTAGAAATAGTCAGGAAAATGTCTTTATTCTTGCTTTGAAGGAAATTCTATTAAATTTTTGATGTTGTTTTGTGTATTTAATTGTTGCTTGTTTATTTGGAAATGTAAATTGATCATGGCGTGACTTAAATGATATGCAAGTTGATTTATTGCCAAATAGGTGGATTAAAAGCTCCAGTTCTGAGCCTGATCAATAGACTGTTATCAATATCCAGGAAGGTGTCATAGTGGTAGCTGCTGGTCTGTGTGAGCTGAAATGTTTGTGGTTACCTGTCTGAATCATCACTTAAAAGCTTAAATAAAACAAGTGATAAACTTCAGATTGAGTGCTGACTCTCGAGTTGAAGCAGAATGAGAATAAGAGCTTCCTTTATGTGCTTTTCTTTTAATTATGAAATTACCTCCTTTTATTTCTGGGTGTTAACATCTGCATTGCACCACAGCTCTGGCCCCTGGTGCACATGTGTGTGTTTGGCCTGTCAAAGAGTGCAGTCTGAGTCTAAACTGCGAAACACGATAGCCATCAGTTGATCCACTTTGAATCCATTAATACTCCGCAGTTGATCCTGGTGGAAGGAAGGCGAAGCTCCCCCCCCCGCCCGGTTTGGGCTCAGGTTCTGACATCCAGAGCCCCATCCAGCGCTCACCTGGCTAAAGGAAGGGAATGTGTGTTGCCTGATGATGTTCGGAGATGTTCAGAGCTCCTCAGTCTAATATATTCGACACTGAAGTCTTTGGAAAATTGTCGGCTATTTGTTAGTGCTTATATAAAAATGAGATAATCAAGAAATAGCTCAGGCATTTAGTGAGAGTGTTACATTTTAATTGAGCACCTTTTAAATTCTACACAATTTGTACAGCAGTAATTCACATTGTCCAGAAAGCAGGTTTTATTCCCTCTTCTGAAGTGAAAACCGACTTTCTAGTGCAAACAGAGCACATATAGCTTAAGGGAGCAGCGAGGATCAGATGTGAGAGAATTGTAAATTCATTGTGTGCCTATCAGACCCGTGAGATCATTGCCTAAGCTCCCTTAGATTTGGAAGCCGTCTCCAACCCTTACATGTGTTTCACTGCAGCATCTGTAGCGATCCACATCTCAGGAATCCCCTTTTTTTTAATGCCTTCTCACTTTAAAACCTGTTGCATGACTGATGCCTTACCGTCGTAGTGCGCTCATTACAAGCAGGGTTTAAATATACAGGCATGTGACTGAACAGCAGCAGCAGTGAGGAGGTATGGCAGGCTTGGATCCCTCTGAGATGATTTCTTGGTGTGTGACTAAGCTATGGAACTATATGACAAATGGGAGCGGAAATTTCTCATCTGAGGGGAATTCACACGGTGATCGACAGTTTCAGCTTTACAAACAATGGTTTGGATTTGTCCTTGTTGAATCTTTGAATGGTTATATTAATATAGATACAGTTTGTCCTGGACACAACAGAGAAACTCTCATTGATTAGAGAGGAGAGTCATAAAGCCTCACGGAGCAGAGCTGCTAAAGCCACTTTCCCTCAAACTTCCTGCGCCAAAATCCGACCCTGATGATTTATTCTTATTGGCTTACAGGGGTTAGCTGCTGTTTGCGGAGAAGAAAAGAGAACGTTTAAATTGTAGCTACATAT